AAGTTTCTCTATTTGTTAAAGAGATGGAACCAATGACTAATAAACATTGACAGATAACACACACAGAGGACTGGTGAACAGTTTCAGAATAATAGCTAATGAGTTTGTTTTATCCAGGTAACAGAAATGTTACTGGAGAGATCCCGTATTAATGGGGGAACAGATATTAGGAAAACTTGGTATTTTACTAGCAACATTGGAAACTGGAATAACTAACCTCTCCAATAACTGTAATGCAGACTACCAGGTGCATCTCAATGAACATGCCTTGGGGTTTGGCCTGTGTCTAGGTACAATTATTTCTTACTGCACACCTCTCCAATTGCGACTTGAAGGAGAATCATTGGCCCTGTGAACTAAACTGTCTACCTACAGTGCTCCTGTACATACTTAATACAAATACATACTTAAGCGCACCTGGGGTCTCCAGCAGGAAGACTGCAAAGGAGGAGTCTGCCAGTTTCAATAGGAAGGGTACGGGATGGATATAGGACCAATGCACAACTCCCACATCTAGTTATAGGGAGAAGGAGCATGTGGGATTGAGAAATACATCAGGAAATTTGGGAGGTACACACTCAACTTGGACTCTGGTTTCTGGCCGAAAACCCATTAAATGAAGAAATGGGATTTTGGGTTGGATCGGGAAACTTACAAAAAGGGTGGCCACAGCAAACCCCCTGGACTTCAATGTATAACCCCTGGCAAAGCCTGAGCCATCATTCACTACAAAAGAACGGCAGTTTTGGTAAGGTAACACCAAGCTTTGCCAGGAGAACGGAACACCAATTGCCCAAAACCTTGTCAATGAACGCGCAACACAAGTGATATCCCAAGTGCTATTAACTGGAATTAATTCTCAATAACCAAGAAATAGACTTAAGTTGATCTTTGATACCACAATATGACTTAAAAATAAACACAGACCTACCCTCAGAGCGGACCACTGAGGTGGGTTACTCAGACCTGCAGGAGTGGGACCAGATTCAGCAACAGCTCAGAGATCTGAATCTATAGGCAAGAAAAGGGCTCACTCCAGCGGCACAACACAACAGAAGTATTCCACCTATTTTGCCAACAACCCAGGACCCTGTGGCTCAGAAGACACTTTGTGCGCTATTGAGGCCAAAGAACCAGACTTACCTAGGCAGGCTATCGCTCTCAGGAGGACGTTATTGATTTTAAGTGCCTTACTACACAGAGGTTGCATTCATGAGTCAAGGTGATACTGGCAATAACAGGAAGTCAGTCCGCAGTCAGTTACACCTCTTACAGCAGAGCAGGGCTCCATCCCTACACGTCCAGCCCTTGCAGGGGGGTAGCACAGAAGGCCCATTCAGGCTCTACCAGAGAAAGGAGTGATGCAGCTCCTTCCCATCCTACCTTTAAGCGTGTGATTGTTAGGGCTGTGGGCAGATCACAAAGCTGCTGACTGGGCCCTGGCCTGAAGTTAAGCTTCATGAGAAGGGGCATTAAGGGCACGTGAAGCTATTGGATGCCACACAAGGAACTGCCAGACATGACAGATAACAATGTGAGAAGCTGACAAGTTGCAGATAGTGGCATAAGGGATGGCTGGATTTTACAGATGGTTAACAGGGTACTTCATGAACAATAGCCAAACTTCACAGATAACCAGAAAGGAGCCCTAGGGATCTTACGGGGAAAAGGACCTTCCTTGTGAGGCCAACAGTGCGTAAGTAACCATATCCAGGAATACCGTATAAGGACAATATTACTTAGGTAATCGTATCATAACAGCAGATCTGGGTAGGGATGCAGCAAAACTGGGACCAACATGGAAAAAAATAATTAGGAGACAGTTACTTGGGAGGAGATTTGAATGGAGAAAAGGAAGAGAAAGCACAACAAAAAGGAAGGTCAGGAAGTGAGAAAAAGAGAGTAAGTTATGGAAATCATGCAGTCAAAGCTGTTTGGCGTTATCTATCAGGCAGCCCTATGCTTGATCACTGCAGCCTGAATCAGGACAATGCATAAAGCCTGTTCTGACATAACACACGCATCAAACCCGCTTCTCTAGTCAGAGGGACCAGGATGCGCAGCGTGCCTTCCACAGCTAACAGGGGAGCAGTCAGATGGACAGATCGAGCAACTTGGTATCGCTGTACCAATGCCCATTCCAGGCTGGACAGCATCAGCAGCTGCCCAGCACTCATAACAACTGCCCCCCCACCTCTTACAGTCTCAAACACTGAAGCCAAATACAAATGAAAGCAGTTCTGCTTCTATCAGAGGACAAAAATACATCAGCTAATTAAAATGCAATGGTACTCTCTGAAGTTATTTAAACAAAAGTAGTGGAATATACTGAGATTTTTCTTTTACATATTAGGTCACATCTGCATATTACAAAACCTGTTACTTTTACTACTAACACCACTAACATCATCACAGCTGAACTTCATTTGTAAGTTTTAAGAACTATTTACAAATTACTGAACTACTGTAATTTTATGGCCAGAGAAAACAACTGAATTGGTCAATTATAAGACAGCATAAAAAAGTTCATAGTGAAAGCCAAGATGAAGACTAAATACAGTTCTCTGATCTTTGTGAAGACACAAGTTTCTTTGCCATAGTAAAAAACCTGAAGCTGATGAGGCTGAAACAAGCCATCAGCACACTCAAGATATTCCTACATTGGTTGGGTTTTTTTCTTTACACTTTCTTTTCAGCATGGATTTAAGGAAAACAAACAAAATTACTACTACTTAATATAGCTAATGGCTATTAAAACTCTCTGAAATTAGTAATTTGACTCACATGTTTGTTAACTAATAATACCTTATAGCATTTCAGGAACTCCGTGTCAAAACAACACAAAATTCAACATACTATGTTCTCAAATCACGTTATTGGCCAAATTATACATGTCTTCAAATAATTTGAGTTCTTGATCTTTCCTGAGTGTCTGCCATCTTGTTGTTCATAAATCACATTTTCTCAAGATATAAAATAGTTTTACTCACACTTCCTCCCATTTGGGAGAAGGTATACTACTATTTTAACAGTGACAAGAAAGAATCTATTACTATAAAAGTAGTAACATGTCTATCAAGAAGTAAAGCTAAAAGAAATACAGATTATAAAACACTAGAGGGAGCAATTATTATTACTGCACGCTACTTAAACTAATGGTAAAATTTCAGAGTGTTCTTTTAGCAAATGAATATACCATATCAGTTTTGAGTAAAGAATCATCATAACAAAGGAAGAGTATAAAATTTTAATATTGAATTCCCAAAGGCTGTTCAAAGAGAGTATAAACAATATGAACAAACATGAAAGCAATATGCTTCTTGTAGAAGGTCTACAGCTTATTTGAGCCAAGTGTGAGGAAAATTAATTAGGAAAACGGAAAAAAAAATGCAATCATAAAACTGAGAGGATGCAATTCAGCCCATTAATGAAAAGAATCTACTGCAATAATTTATCTGGGACTGAGAGAACAGATATTAGTAGTCCTATAAATCCTTCAAATAAAGATCTGGCAGACACACATATGCTCTGTCTACATTAGCATTACAGTAGCAACAAGGTTTTGGAGCAAATCCTCCATCGTTCCCACTAACCACGTGCTGACTCAGTTCCCAGGGCCGTTCTGGTATATGCAAACTACATTTCTCTTCAGGGAAATCAAACCAGATGCTTTGCTCCCGCTGGGCACAAAACATGCTCCAAACCCTAATAGGTTCAGGGTTTTTTTCAAGTCTTCCATTGCCACTGTAACTTAGCAGAAAAGGAATGTTCTTCTATGAGACTGTATTGCTCTTACTTGAGGAAGCTCAAATAATGGATTTCAGATATATAATCAATTTATGGCACCAGAAAGTTATCTTCTATCTATAAATTGACAGCACAGCCAGTCTGCTAACAAGAGCATTTTTACCCAGGGACAACACGATGACAAACACACGCACTCTAAATCAAGTGGTTACCATTCACCGTATTTTCTCCCTCTCTTTAAGTATTGCAATACTGAATTATTATTTACAGAAAAATTTTGTTTATATATCCAGAGCAAATGAGAAGCAACTCTCACCTGTGGAGGAGGTACTGTTATTGGTGCAGGCATGGGAACGGGAATTGGAACAGGTAAAGCTTTAGGTATAGGTGACACCGGTTCATTATGTGTAGCTTCTGCACCTCCATTTTGAGCTACTTCATTTTCAGATTTCTTGGGAATCCCCTTCCACTCTATACAAAAAGAACCCAAACATACATGTATCAGCTCAGTAGAAGCGGACAAGTAGTCAAGCACCACCATGTAAAACTATCGTGCTTTGTGAAGTTTACAAGAATGATATAATTTAAAAATATTCAGATAATAAGAAGCGCAGAGCTAAGAAGCATTTAAATATATTTCTGACAAAAATTCCAAATTACTTTAAACACAGTACAGCAAATCACTGAAACATAGCAAGTAAATTTATTCTTTTCATTAGTCATTTAACAAATCTTTGCACTGACAGCATTTCTACATGTCCAGGACTCTGAAACACATTATCTGTAACAAAAACAGTAAGGCTGTTTTGGCACAAGCTTTCAACAGTTTCATGCCACTGCTCTCAAGCAAGAAGGCACCAGCTTTTTCACTAATTGGAGAAGTCATTTCTGAAAAAAACCCCAACATTTTCAAGTCTTAAACAAGGAAAAGGAGAATACAACAATAAAGAATGGCAGTAAAATAGAGAAACATAAATATAGCTTTTAAACTCATTTTACAGAAGAATTATGGCTCCTATTGTTTGTCAGAACTTCCTGGGAAAAGACAGCTAAGCAGAAAAAAGGGATCAGTGAAGAGGCATTATGGGAAAGAGAAAAGCATTGAGAATACTGGAACACATTGAGGTTATGTTTATCATTCATTAGACTTCCATTTAAAATACATATTCAACTTATTTTTGTGTATTTTGCTACTACTCAGAATAACCACCACCTAATTATGGCAAATTAGACGGAACTTCAAAACCTGGAAATAATAACTAGACAGCACACCACACAATGGTTAAAACCAACGCAGTAGTCCAGAGTACCAATTTAAAGGCAATTTCAATCAAGTACTGCATTCATTTAATATTATTTTTAAAATCACAACAGCCAGCACACTAGCAACTCTATATTGAGGCCTGTAATTTATTTGAAGCTGCTGATTCTAACAGGTGTCATTGTCTTAATACAACCATAGAAGCCTGATATTTTTACTGCTTACACACAAAATAACAAGAATTCTATTAGGTCCTTATAAATACGAGACTTGCTAAAGAGACTGAACATGTCACAAGTGTGAAAACTACAAGCCCTTTTTTTTTTTTGTAATAGAAATTATAAAGTTGCTGTCAGGCTAGTTGCTATACAAGTACTCCAAAAGCAGGCTCCTTTGCTAGGGGTGACTTGCGCAAACTGGGGCGGCAGGGGGTGGTGCGGAGCAGGACACGCCAAGCTGGCTCTGGGACTAACAAGTACAACACACATCACGCATTACCATCCAGGGCAAACACCAGCACAGCTGACAGGTCAGCTGGTATCTACCTGCTTTAGACCTGCCTCCCGTAACACAGCTGCACAACTCCTGACAAGGGACTGTCCTTAACTGCTTACAAACTCCCTCCAATCTAGTACTTAGCCATGTCAAGGATTTTATACGCACCTCAGAGTCACAACAGTCAGCCACAACAACTTCAGTACACCAGCACAAAGGACAGCTTTTAAAAAGTATTTAAAGATGTAGCAATACTTTACCTGGACTAAGAGTTTCGTTGTCCAACATTCCTCCTTCACAGAAACTTTCAAGATCTTCAGGTTTCACTTTGTCCCATGGTATATAAGTAACACCTAATTCTACATCCCAATACTGCTTGTAATCTGGCTTTATTCCTTTATTCAAAGCCCATGCAATCTTGGGGGGAAAAAATACATGTAGTCAGTAAAATGTTCCCATTTTAATGGATTTAATATTTAGTTCTTACAAAACAGCACTATCATTTGATGCTAAAATGTAAAAAGACTACTCTAATTGAAACAGCAGGAAAAATAGGTTAGTTACAAACTCTGCAATAAGAGGGATTTTTAAAAGTAGACTTAGTTCTTATTTCTTGGCTTGACTTTTGTACACAATTTGTAAAAATGTATAAAGGCAGTTTCTTCAAACGTTCCCCAGTCACCAAGATTAATTCTATTTCCCTTCAGAGGACAGTGTCACACTCGAATACAATGTTCTACAAAAGGAAGAACTTCACTAATGAATGCATTCTTCCTTCTTTATTAGTACTCTTTGTAGGATTATCATGTATAATAAAACTCGGTTATAAGACAAATAACCAGCAACATGAAAAACATAGTTACAGTCCACTGTGATGACTAAAAGAACACCATTTTTGTTGGTTAAATAGACAATTACTGGCAATCATTCAAGGAAACTGATACAAGTTCCACTAGTCCCATTACACAGCAGGAAGAATACTTATCAAGGAAAAAAGTGGTCTGTTCACATAAATTTACACAGTATCATATCCAGAATACATAAAAGTCTAAAATATCCATAAGTCTAAAATAGATGGAAAAAGGATTACAGTAATTACAGTAACTTTAGAACAGCTTGACATTTTCCAAGAAGTACCTTTATAGACTTCTGATTGACTTTGAAGTTTCCTCGGCTCAGTTTTTGTAGGGCACGGTAAGCATCTTGTCTGTGAACCATTACGATATAGGCACATCCTCTAGGTGGTATCATCTGTTTGTATTTTAAGAAAAAAAAAAAAATGGTTTTGCTAGCACATGAATAAAGTAACAAACAACATACAAGTGTTCAATTACATTAAGCTGGAACACCAGCAGCTGTTTCAAAAAGGGCTACGGAAGTATGAAAGAGAATGTTAGTTTAAGAGGTTAAGATAGCCAGTATCTTTTGGAAATACAAATTTCTAGTAAACTAAAAGCAACTTCTTAAGTGGAACCTTTTAAACTCCATTCTGTGTGAGAATATGAATGACTTGTATATTTAATCCTTTAAAACTGTGACACAGTAGTGCTCATGTAAAAGCTGTGGTCTGGCAATTAGTTACTTTGTTGGAAGAAACAAGACCCTCTAATACCCCACTTCATTCCATATACCACAAGCTGCCAGCTGCACCTCCACATTCAGTTTTATCTGCAGTGTTGTAATAATTTTTATTATTTGTAATGCATTTGAGAAAAAACTTCTATGTTGTTTTACAAAATTTGGGAATAGGAAGAAAATTACAGTCCCTTCTTTTTGTTTAAATGAAATTTTATGGCTACTGGAACAGCTATCATTTATATATAAAAATACCCTTGAATACAGCAAAGCATAACAGTAATTCTCCATGTTTATGACTAAAATGACAGAAGAGAAACAAGCAAAAGAAACAAGAACACCAGCTGAGAGTCCACATTGCTATAATCAAAATGGAGCAGACAAGGAACTCAGCAGAACAGTATGTAACTCTAACTCCTCAACAGCCCTATCCCATTCAATTCTCTCCAGAGAAAGCATGATTTTTATGAAAATGGGATAATCTGTATTACCCCCAAGAGCATTTTTAAATGGCAAGAAACTAAAGCAACTGCCTTCTTGTTTTTCTACAAAGCAGCCAAATGAATTGAGTTTACACGTTAGAAAACACAATCATACAGGAAATGAGAGCTCTTGACTCTTTTGAACGTATTCAAAAATAAAGCTGTCTTAAGACAGTCTGAAAAGACATTTTTTAATCAAAGCATATCAAAGTAGCTTGCACTGCACAATTTATACTTACATTTATTGATTCAATTGGGCCAAACTCCTCCAAAAGACTTCCAACATCCTGCTGAGTTGTCCTTTTGTCAAGTTGTCCTACCCAAAGCGTAGTACTACAAACTACAATCAAAGAGTTAACGCAGATTGTAAGAGCTCTTGGAAATATACATTTCACAAGCCAGAACGTCAAAACAGTAATTTTAAAATAGTTACTCAAATGAAAAAGTCAGTTAGTATTGAAACATACATTTTAATCTTCAGGAGCATTTGACAAACCTTGTCGCCTGCCTAGAGCTGCGTTAACCACAGCACATACATCAGAATCTCTGTTAGAATGCACTCACTAAGCAGCTCTCTAGGTAACTAATATTGAAGTGACTTGCAAGTTCTGATGATCATGAGCTCTGCAAATCATCATAAAAAAGAAAAATATCCTTTGCTGCTAACAGTGCTCCATGAAATATCCCAAATCATACAGTGGACATTACACAACACGGTAACTCACTCTGCTTAGTATGAAATCCAAGCTACGGGCCATCACTGCAAGTTATGGATGGTACTTACTGGCAAGATGATAATTAGGTTGTTTATGGTGATACTCCCACCACCAGCAAGATTTTCCTCCAGAATGTGATGACAATTCAACTACAATGAGCAACCAAACTTTAAACCTCTTTATTAACTATTCAATGCCATTTCTTTCTACAGTTAAGTGAAAAATTATTGACACAAGTTTTTTCTTTCAGGAAAGAGGAAGCAACATGCTTATCTCACTTCATGCTTCAAGGTAATAAATCAGCAGATGAGCTCAAAGTATCACATTCGCTGAAGACTACTGCAGCAACATTTAATACTCATCTACATTTTCCCCACTAAATGACATAAAACTGCAAACCTAAAAAGCACTACATGACAGAATTTGGGAGAGATTGACAAAAGTGTATCTTGCACCACTGCCAGTAAGCTTTTAATGAACAGATACTAAGTTTTTGCCGCCCTTGTAAACTAATGGTATTGTCATTCACAAGGTTTTGGCTAGTTAATACTCTTTAGTTTTTGTCCCTCATATAAAAAAAAAGAATGTTCTCATTTTACTTGATGACTCCAGAGAAGATTCCACACTCCCCAGGAATATTCAGAAGGCAACTATTACATTTTGTCTACAAACACAGGCAAACCAGGATTATTTCAGAAATGCGAACATTAGTCTGTGTGTTTTCCAGGTCAAAGCTCCCTTCCAGGTCTGAGACACACACAACACTGAATCATTAGAAAAATCGTAATAATGTGCTCAACAACTTCTTCCTCAATCTGTTTTACCTTATATGTCTCAAAGAAAGGAAAAGAAAAACAGCTTTTTCTTTTCTCATTTTAAAGCCAAAATATTTCTGACTTGGGGATATTCCAAAAATGCCAACATGTCTACTATGAGTAGAGGAAGTACAGGCATGTGTGGTGAATTTAATTCTTACCAGCTTTACAACAGTTCAGAAAATAAATCACAGTACAGTGTACTTTTATTCTATTTGGATGAGTCTTGGAACATCAAATAGCATTAAACCCAAGAAAAAGGAACAAAAAATTAAAAAAATAACACACATCAGATTAAGAGTTTTCTTCTGGGATATTCTGAGCAGATATCCCATCCTGAAGGTAAGTGGACCTGTCAACATTAAATTAAAAAAAAAAGTCTAATAGATTCAAGAAGTGTATTTCTTTGACGTTTACAGGTTTTCTAAAATACCTGTTTGTCTTCCTAGTACTCCATTTTACATAGGCATAATATCTACTGTAGTATCTTCAACTTCACAGAACTCTAAAATTCATTAAAGAAAATACTGGGCATGGACAAAAAAAATCCATATATGAACCAGGGAGATGTTGAGGATCTGAAAAACGGTATTACAAGAATTTGCAGAGTTACATCAACAATAAAGAGAAAGAATAAACTTACCACTAACAGTTTCTGACTTGATCTGAGGAAGACCTTTTGACCTGCGTTCTCTCTCCCTCTCACGTTCACGTCTTTCTTGTGACCGAGACTTGGGAGAGTGTCGGCGTCTATCCCTGGACCGAGATCGAGATCGACGATGACGTGACCGTCGAGATCGGGAGCCAGATCTCGAACGTCTCCTTTTAGGTGACCTAGTTTAAACCAACAACCATTTACGTTCAGTCTTTCTGACCCAGACATTGACAGATAAATAACTATTTCAGATATCTGTTTCAATAATCAGACAAGAGTTGAGTCAATAAAAAACCCAAGTAAATCCAAGTTCATTCACATACATTTACAACTAGCATGGTTTTTTACAATAGCTTATTTAAGCACTCCAGCTGAAGTTGATTATTTTTCAACATCTTATCCTCTATTAATTTTGTATTGAAGTTGACTATCAAAACTATGTCCACGTTAACATAGTAAAAAAATACATCTGCTTAAATGAGGAAAATGTTTATTGCTTTTACAAAAGGATTGCTACAAAAGAGATTAAAAATAAATTCTGCCAGTGAAATTGTATTTTACATCATGCTCAAGTTCTAAACCACTCAAGGTCTGGAAGACAAAGTAAACCTTCAAAGAAGTTGTATGAATCTTGGCAAAGGAGAAGAGTCATAACTAAGTAGATAGCTTTGCTTTAATACTGGAGTCAGATTTGTCAGGTCAGCTGAGACATGTGAAATACTGCCTCTGTGACAGGCGATGTCCCATAGGACACTGGATCATAGATTTCACCGTTATAGTACACTGGATCACAGATTTCTTCATAAGTGTCTTTAGAGCACAGACAAAATTAAACTATCATATTCTGCTTCCCTAAAATTTACTCAGTATTGATGGGCATGGAAGATACTCTCTACCAATAAGAGAGAACTGTATACATATGTGATTTTCCTTCGAAGGTAGATGACTTTCAGAGGTCCACAAGTCTTAAGAGTAACTAATCTGTTTCTCGTTACCACTGCATTGAAGTACATACAACATTTAGCTGTGTTTATACACAACTTCCCTCAGAGGTAAGAGATTGAAAGGCTCTCTTCTTCTCTATTCCAGAAGGGGAATTCAAAGAAAGCCCTTGACAGTTTTGATGTCACCAAGAAATTTCACTAGCATTGTCCATACAGATAATAATACACAGACAGTAATTTCTTGTAATTAATTCTTGGATTAAATTGAAATGGACTCTTTTGCCAAATGTGTCTTTTGGCACTTAGTCATAGAATCCAACTTGTACAGTACAACTGGGCACGTAAAAGAAACAACCTCAAAGGAAATATGCTGAGCAGAGCACCCAAGGAGCCAACTTGAAATACAGGTAGCAGGACTCTTGTAAGGCATTGGAAACGAGCTCTACCAACAGTTCATGAAGTTAGTTTGCTCACCTCTCAGCTATTTAATGTCATCTCAGTTAGAAGTTACCACCCCTCACAGTAGATTTGGCAGCACAGCACCAAATTCTCGAAGCTCCAGATAATCAGCGTAACTTTCCTGAGTACTCGTACAGAATTAGTAAAGCATTTTCAAGTCTTTGGACATGACATACTGAAGTTCCCTATGTTAAAATCTACTACCTGATATAATATATACCCTCACTAAAAGAGCTTTCACTAATTTACCTTGATGCAGATCTAGATCTTGACTTTCTGTTGTCAGAAACATGCCGTTTTCCCTCTTGAATAGGTGGCTGTTCCACTTCCATATCCTACAATATTAAGTTGACTGGTGTTACAGGCGAGTAGCGCGAGTATTTTATTTCATTTTATACCCAGACTAAATTACATAACAGTACTAAAATTATACTGAATATTCATATGTCAAATTAAAATGTAATGCAACTCTCCTCAGAAGCTTCACCACTACTTCGTAGTCACTAATAAGGAGACAGTCCGGTATTAAATAAATTTAATACAAACACAGTAAAAATAATTTACACAAAATTCTCATTTTCAATTTGCAAATTATTGTTTTTCCACATTTTAGTGAATTTCAGCACCACATATACTTCCACAGAGTATGATTATATTCCTTAGTCAGTGGATCTGTCACCAAAATCACAGGAAAAGTAATGTCTACTAGAAAACTTTTCTCCAAGATATTATAGGACACTACTTTAAGCCATATATATATTTACACAAGCAAATTACAATACAATAAATTTGAAGAATGAAGCAGTAAGTCATCAAAACAATACATAAAATGCAACAACCTGTTAACCCCCCCCCAGTAAGCTTAACACAGCTCCTCTTTCTTATCCCAAATCCTCTACAGCTTCCCATCTAGAACATACTGTGTCCTGCCTAAACTTTAAGTAGCCATCGTGATGTAACCCTGGCAGGGAACATCCAAACAGGCAATCTCTCAAAATGTACCTATTCAACAGAATTCAAGACTAAAAAACTAATTACAAAGATACTCTTGAGAATTGACCCTTTATTCCAAGTGGAAAGCAAGAACTTCTTTCTAGAATCTGTGACATCACAGGGCACCACAGAAAGACAGCTTGGTACTATCTCTATTTCTCATTTCAGGATTTGCTTTTCTTGGAACAAAAGAGGCAAATATAGTAATTTTTTTTTTTTTTAATTTGAATACAAGCTTATAGATAGACTTGCTCTTTGATTTCTTCATAACAGCAGCCAGTTACCAAAGCAAGAACTTCTTTCTAGAATCTGTGACATCACAGGGCACCACAGAAAGACAGCTTGGTACTATCTCTATTTCTCATTTCAGGATTTGCTTTTCTTGGAACAAAAGAGGCAAATATATTATTTTTTTTTTTTTATTTGAATACAAGCTTATAGATAGACTTGCTGTTTGATTTCTTCATAACAGCAACCAGTTACCAAACCAACAATATCTTAGGAACAAGAGAGAAGTGTTTACATACACTTGGATTTTTTAAAACTTTTACTTCTGAGTCCATTTCCACTGTATTAATGATCTACCAGGCCCTTAAAAATTAACTTTTCAAGATAGTTTCTCTCCACAATGAGATTGCATTGTTAGAAATCCAAGGAACAAAATATTCCTGAAACATGATGGGGACAGGAAAAGGAGGATGAGGGAAAGTGAGAAGTGGAAGGACAAAATGCAATCCAACATCTTTCACAAAAGGAGACATTAAGCACACATATGCTGGCTTCGCTAGACTTCTGAAATATGAGACTTGTCAAGTAACACTGCAGCTATCCAACTTTCTCTCAGATGAGCTACCCTCACAGCCATCTCTGCCCATGGTTATCATGAAATTTCCTCTCCTGAACAAACTATACACATTCGAGGAAGACATGTATTGGAGCATTTAAGTTTGTTTACTGCAACGGTTCTCACCTGCTGATGTGGTTTTTGCATGTGTGATTCACTCTGTACTGGAAAAGGTGATTGAAAGGTTTGCTGTACAGGTGCTGCTGGTGGAATCACAGGCTGAGCCATGGGTGGAAACTGCGGGGTAGGCAGGAGACCAAAACCTGGCATTTGCCCATTAGGAGGAAGTGGAACCTTTGGAGAAGAAAAAACATGGAAACTTCCAGTTAGGAAAAAAAAAAAATTACATTAGCTTTCCCAGTTTGCTAAGTTAAAATTGTATCTCTGCTCAAAAGTCACAATAAAAGACCACAAGCCCAAGAAAGATGAAGTAGGTCAAGTTTTTAGGTGTATAAAATAAAAATCTTGTTCTTCAAAGCTTGACTAGAACAGAGAACAAAAATATGTTTCTTGGGAAAGTTGGAGGGCTAAGCCATATTCACCCTTCACTAATAGGAACACCACTTCCTTACTTCTGCACGAAAGAAAACAACAAAAGATAGAAACCGTAACACAAGAGAGGGACAAGGGAAAGCACTGAAGTTACCTGGTGACGCATTGGATCCTGTTGTATGCCCATCATTCGCTGCTGAAAAGGATCCATATTTGGGAGTTGAGGAAATACTGGCTGTTGAATACCTTCTCCTGGAAACCCACTGAAACCAGTAATATTTTGGTGAGACAAGTCAATAGATACACAGATTTTTTGCCTTTATTTTACATATTTCTATGTACATTTACAGATTCTTGCTTCAAATTTAGACAGAAAAATTATCTTCATTATTATCTCATTTCCTCTCTAAAAAGTGAAAACAAAACAAGGAGAAAGAGTGGCTTCCTTATCTTTTCTCCACTGTACGAGTAGTACTTTAACATTTAAAGAAAAGCTACATAAAGGTTTAAGCCTCTCTTCCCCCCATGCTTATATGATCTTGCTAAAGATCTCAGTCTATGGAAATTTTTCGTGAAGGTTGTCTGCCTTATGCTAACTTTCTTCCTTTCCTGTTCCTCTTTTGGGAACAAAAGAAGTAAACCTTTTCCTCAGGGAAAATAAATTGGCCATACTTTTACTGGGAAAAAAATCCTTTAGTTCGGGAGGAATTTAGGACAGAGGAGAAAGGGATATGTATATCACACAAGGATTACAGTAATGCCATTCACTTCCTGATTCAACACACAGAATGGACAGTGCTCGGGGAATTAACGATGCCTATGCAGTTAATAGGACCTGTTTACAGGATGCAGTTTGTGTAAGAAACTGAATAGGATTTCAGAAAGATAAAGGAATTTCATGGTGATGTGAAATGGAACTTTGCAGTATTTTAAGACACAGGTGCCATACAATTCTTAGACTTCTGGACAGATCAGTTTTTCATTTAGAGTATTAGCGATTTTGTGTGCCCAAAATGAGACTACTGGAATCCAATCTTCAGAGGCATCTTACACAACTATAAGGTAATAAGGACAGAGGCTTTGAAGTGCTACAAACAGAACATAAACATGCTGTAAAGTCCAGTCCAATGATCTCTAGCTAGGCACACACAAGCAGTGCTTGTGTTTGACCTACCTCATCTTTCTGTACTCCAGAGTTCCATCTGTATTACAGGGAACATACTACCAATTTACTAAAAGGGCATTTTAATTAACTAATTCTTATGGAAAATTAAAGTGCTCAAGGTGATAAACACAGTAAGAAAGCTGATGACAAAGTTAGTGATTCTGTTTTTGAGAGCAGGGTTTGGATGGCATATACAGAAAGTAAGACATGGGGCCACATACTGAAGCAGGGAAAAAAGAAATATCGACTAACCCAGGTATAGAGCACCATCCAGCCTGTGCACTGAATGAGAGAGAGGTCCTGTGGAAAAAACTAGTATGTGATCATGTAACTTAAAACTTTATCATAACGCATATCAAAAGGGAAACAGGAGTCTGAGTTAGTTTGCGTGAGTATTTTATGTCCGAGAATGTAAAGCTGCAAAGCCAATTTTAATTTTTTAAATAGTTAAAACTACCACAATGTTTCCCCAGCCAGCAAAGCAATCCAGCTGATTACTGACAATGCCCTGAGACACTCAGTTGTGCAATAAAAACACAAATTCATCTGGAAACCAAAACTGAGCTTTTCTCTACAGAACGCATTCCTCAATCAATGATGCAACATGCCAAACCTACACCAGATTACCAAAGTAAAAAGACCAAAAAAACACCTCACCTCAGAAGTTGTCAACAACGTTTTAACTTTGGACTATAACAGTTAAGCACTGAAGTAATCTGGAATTTTAATCAGCTTTCTAACCTAAAGATTTTTTAGGACAAAGCTTTGTTAATTTTATTAAGACACAAAACTTACAAAGCTGGCTGAGAAACTGAAGGAGAAGGAGCTGAGTCTTCTTTCTTTGAATCTTCCACTGCTTCTGGTTCATCATCATAGTCAAACCGATCTAGCAGCTTCTGAAAGAAATTATGTTGAGCCAACTATTTTTTCTGTATCATATAATCGGCAGCCAAAATATCCTTATTATCCAAGTCTTACTATATATCTAACAGCTCTGGAATTAAAGACAAGGTTAGAATCAGGAAAAAAAAAACAAACCACAAATCTATATTCTAATACAGAATCAGAAACTGTCCAAACCCAGTTTTATTCATCTTCAGAAAATGCAAAGGCTGTAAAAACAGGAAGCTGATCTCCTAACAGAAAGAGAACAAGATTTGCACCATTTTTCTCCTAACAAATGGAGGACATTGAGGAACCTATCAAACAGTCTTCCGCTGAACTGAAAAAGTTAAACACAAAGAACAAATGAAGACTTACTTTGTCAAATGATGTTTTTTGCTCCGGTGGTGGGAAAGCAGCTTTTTGTTCTGGTGGTTGTGCTCCTGTAGTTTTCAGCTGAGCAGTAATAGCTTGAACCTGAGCCATCACAGTGTTATCTATGACCGGTGACTGGGGTTTCTGAGGCTGTTGAAAAGTCTGAAGAATTTGCTGAAGCTACAAAAACATATATAGTGTTAAGTATATATTCTTACATAAACACACAGCATTGAAAGAGCTGTAGGATATAAATTTTACATCAAACCAGACTATGGCACAGGATGAACACCAACAACAACTTGACTAAACTATGGAGAACTTTCAGCAAGACCAAATGTCACTTTTTAAATACTTGAGTGGCAAAATTCAGCAGATCCCAAAGTTTCAGCATTCAGGCCTTTCAACACTGCAAGTGTTTAAGCAGACCAAACAATAAAACTCAACATTTTGTTTTACATATTCCACCTATTCTTGAAACTTTGTAACTGCATCAATTCAGAACTAATTATTTAGGAATATACATGTGAATTTTCCTCAAATACCATAATTAGTGGATAGAAGGGCCATACATCATTCAAATACTGACTTTAACTCTCACAAGTTTTCCACTGAAGACTTTATGGAGGCTCTTTGTTTTGCTTCAAATCAAGGCTATTACTTCCATCACTTTCCTCCCGATTTAATATAAAAAGCAAAGTTAGAAGGGAACCAAATATAAACAGATTACCTGTTGTCCTTGCGTTGTTTGAAACAACTGAGCTACAGCTGCAAAGGCATCAGAACTGGGCAACTGTGGCACAGTAGGTACTGAGTTAGCAGTAACTTGAGGGGGCTCCAAAGGAACCTTTGCTGGAGGGGGCGGCGAACCTGAGTTTCACAGGAATTGAGAAAGTGCTACGTTACTCCAAAACATTCATCTTGCTCTTCAGTGCATACATTTACCTCCTCAAAACAAGTGCCTATCTACGATACTCTATTTAACCCAAGAAGTCCTATCTAAACTACCCCAATTGCATATTCTATTCACTTTGCCTTCAACTGCTCCATTCAATGTGCTCACATCTGCACATTATACATACTAAGAAAGACAAATGACCTATCTGAAATCTAGTCCAGCAGATATTTTAGATCACAACACAATGTTTGTAATTGTACAATTTTAGAAAATTTAAGAGGAAAAATTAATATTACTCAGTGTTAAGCAATGCATATCAATACACTTAAAACGTTAGTTCTGGTTACAAAGTTCTGGATTCATTCTTTCAGATGAATATTTCAAATCAATCATCTAATGGTTCATTTTAAGAGCAACTGAGTTTCTCTTAATATTTTCTGTTTTCTAGCAGTAACTGACCTTTGCTGAAATGTCTGGTAATAATTAAAGGTTTTTAAAAATTAATTCACAAGAAACTCTTTCTTTGATAAAGTTTGTTCTCATGCCACTTTTGCATAGGCACAACCTGCATTTGATAGATAAATCCTCCTACCATAAAAATAATTTTCACTAACTCTTCCAGGAAAAGGTTCCCATTTCCACTGAGCTTTACTAAAACTGAGATCACATTTTAAGACATACCACTAGCTTTGTCATGCAGCTTTCCCATTCTCTTTGCTTCAGATTACAATGTTTTGGGTTTTTTTAAAATAAACATTTTGCCAGTAAAAAGCAAATTAGCAGTAATACCATTGATTCCTACACGTGGTGAGCAAGTAACTATTCTTTAGCAAATATATTTTAATGGACTACTGTAAAACTGTACAAGGAGCTACAGTTTAAAAAACCCCACAAATAGAAATATTTTTTAGTTTGAGATACTAAGCAAATATGTTTGCCTCAGTAACAACTTCTTTAAAGCCATTCATGTGTTTGCACTTTAAATAACTGCAGTGTTGACATGCAGCAAGCAGAGACAAATGTGTTGAATAATATTTTCCCAGAAGTCAGATACTACATAAAAATGCTGCAAAAGATACGTGATTGTTTTTAAATATAAATTAACTCCTAGATTATTTCCTGTATATATTCAGAAATATATATATATTCCTCTATATATCTGCTTGCTCAAGGGAGAAAATTTGCATTTCTCTCTCTCTCTCTCTTTTTTTTTTTGGCTGAACAGACTTTGTAGAATCTGTTTAGCTCATAATGCTATTTCACATAACGCATTCATGTATTTATTATTATTAATTAGCATATTTATTTCAGGGTCAAATTATCCCCCTCTGGTGCATCTGAATAAGCTCACTGAAATCAGTAATTCTGTACATGAAAATCTATGCAGAAGGCACCCAACCTGTTATCTACTAGCAATGAGACAGAGATGGAAAACCAGTGCCACTCACCTGTCACATCAGAATGAAATTGTACAGCCACCAGTCTGCACCCAAGCTGAGATGGCTGAGACAATCTCTCCCCCTGCCTTGCTGTGTTTATAAAACATGCCAATAGGATACACTTTCCTGAACACCACTGGAGGTGATTTTACTTATGCTATTGTGCATCATTATTTTGTTGTCTCTCACCACACTTCACTCATTCCATTACATTTTTTGCCAGTCCAACTCCAACATACATGAGTGCAATAAACAAGAAGGTTACTAAAGCTAAGTCTGAAATACAGAGTGCAAATTCAAAAAAGGCGGCCCTCCAGAGAAAGAGAGGATTGTGGTATGCATATTCTCATCCACAATTCGGTAACCTCACTACCAGCTTTTTATGTGGCATAAAATAGGTCAGTGAAAATACTGTGGGCAGGCCATCATTGCTTTACTCTTTAGGTCAGCGGTTTTCAACCAGTAGCCCGTGTAAAAGTCTACTGCCAGGCATAAATTTATTCTTCAAGAATTTGGATTTGAAACACCAGTTAAAATGTTTCGGGGCTGCATACTGAAAAAGACTGGCAGCTGCTGCTTTCAGATACTAAGTTAATTCGAAGAAAGATCAAGCTCAATGTGCGAGATCACTCTTTAGTTATCCAGATTCTAACATTACCAAAATGACATCAGAACTATAAAACTGAGAAACAACAGAAAAATATTTCAGACCAAAAGAAAAAAAAAATTAAAGATTTTTTTTTTTTAAGAGGGGACACTGAAGTCATCTGTAAGTAAAGTATGCACATATGTATGTATATATGCATACACGATATAAATTTTAGGTATTTGCAAGTAAGTGTTCACATTCTGATAATTTCTGAAGTACAGTATCAGCATTTATTTAGAATGAGTTCAGCTGCTCCACATAATTGTGACAACAAAGTTGAGTTTATTAATACGCTAATGTTGAAACTAATAGTAGGCACTTTAATGTGAAAGCAAACAAGCTATTATCATTCCCCCTTTTAAAAGAAGTTGTTATAATGTCATTCATACCTTCATTATTAGTAGCATTTTCTGTCATTGGTGCTGTGGCACTAGTTCCTGCTGCCATATCCAGAAGAGGTTGAATTATTTCAATTTTAAATACTCCATTTTTCTGCCAAAGGTTCAAGACACGGACTATTTTACTCTGTTGAAACAAAAGCAAGCATCAACATGAAATAACAGCTCTCCTAATTCACAAACTCCAGATTTACCTTCCATACATTGAGAAGAAAGGTTTGAACAGTATAGGAGTTCAACGTAATCAGGCATACCTATTTAACAACTCCCTAGGTCATACAGGTCACACAGAAAAGAAAAACTGCCAATTTATTTTACTATCTGCTTTAATAAAAAGCAATTTGTGCCACCACTTCTTCACAGATGGTCATAAAGAGGTGGCACAAACAACAAATGCAACAAGATGGACAAAGAAAATGAAGACGAGCTGGAAAATGCTAATGAAAAGAGGGGCAATTAGATATAAAACACAAGAACAAAGCTTTAGATAGAAGATTACTTGCTTGAATTTTTTTCAACTAATCCAACCAATTCTATGTTGACAGCAGAAGACCCATCTCCTCTATTATTCAAAAGATCAGGAAAGCAAGTGGAAAACGTTTTAACAGATCATTGCAGAAAGATTAAATTAGAACCTCTGACTGTCAGCTGTTATTTTAAGCTCTTTTCTTTTTTTTTTTTAAACATTAAGAACAATTAAGCTTTCAGGAACAAGCTGGAAATCAGTTTTTCCTTCTTTAGCCCAGTATTAAACAATAATATTTAACTAGATGTGCTGCTTCAGTTTGAACATGCAAGCAGGTAAAAGCCAGAATACATGTTATATTGACATACCTGTCCTTTTCGTATACTTAGTAATCTGACTTGCAGACATACAGGTTTTAAGTACTTTTTCCTTGTACTGTAGCTGCTAAGAAACAAAATCAATTCTGTTCCTTCTTGTTTGAACAATAAAGTGCCTTACTGTGACTCAGTTGTATACACCCATGCAAATCCACCTATACTTTCATAAGCTAAGCTATTAAAGAATTTCACAAAATGTTTTCTATACAACATTAGCGAGAAACCTGAAATGGCTATTTTTAAATTAGATTTCAGTGTGAAAAACAGTTAACTTTAAAACAGCAGCATTTTTTGGCTTTGGGTATTCTATCTCTCCAGAAGACTTGAAAATAACATGAAGGCCAAAAAAAAAAGAATAAATTTAATACTCTTGTTTTCAGTCACATATTAATCTTACAGAAAGGCTGTTTAAAAAAAAAAAAGTAGTAATATCATTCTCTTTGGATATTAACCATAGCAGTTGTGTATCTGCAGATCAGGTATTTTGTTTAGGTATTGGAAATTCCTTAATGCAAGTATGTTATAAATAGTGTTATTCCCCTACTGGAAATCATCTTGTCTATTTTAGCAGTGAGATCAGTTAGTTCCATAAAGGAGACAGATAGCCTAATTCATTTAGATGAACAAAATGGTAACCACAAAGACAGAAAGAAGGGACTGCTCTATTTCACCAGGGTACTGGCCCAGAAGCTCCAGAATATCAGATTCAATGCCTAAAGGTCGAAATGTTCGCCATTAGAAAACTACATGCAATGAAATTCTCAAGCATGGGATTTGTAAAGACTGAAGAAATCAACATGATGATTTTTGCAGAAAATTTGGGAACAGAACTTTCACTGCCTACAACACTGGATCTTCTGCTGTAACACTTTTTGTAGGAGACACCGCCTTCCATAGTAAAAGTTTTGGCACAGTTACACACACTGTTGAAGTGTCTGCATAGGCAAAACAAAGCTTATGAAATTAGGTAAAATAAATATTTTAACTAGAACTTTCATTTAGCTATCACCTTTGCTAAACTTTCTCAGCATGTTTTATTATTTCATATAATAATATGCTACCATGGACATAGAGAATCAATAAATCAGGTTTCATGTATGTGGAAACATGTAGGTAAGCACTGTTATCAATTCATAACAACACTTGAGAAATTATAGATGTACCTTGTCTTCAGATGGACAGAGATACAAATACTGGAATGTGGCAGTAATATTTTTAGAGAATCTTGGCCCAAAAACATCTTTGTCTGTTCCAAACTGGTGACGAGACTGACGAACAATAGAGTCAATAACGTACAATCCCGGGACTTTATATTCTGGTTTACACTGAAAACATAAAAATAATTTTCCATTATGCAGTGATATTAACAAGGTAACATGCATTCACCTTAGATCCTCAGACAAAATCTACACTTGGTATAAATGGGTAGAAAAAAATTAATTTGTTTTATGTAGAATTCTCTTACTGGTTTGCTTTGTTTGAAATGCAAAAGGAAGGAGAAAAACTTGCTTTAACATTTGCGACACAGTAAATATACCTAGATATCTTGAAGCAACCTTTATTTTCTCAATCATGGCTTTTAAAGTATCTTTAGCTTGACAACACGTGACCACAGCAGTAGATCTACTACATTACAGTACAGACTGTCACAACTCTGCGATCAAGCTACCTCACACTCAATGCACTGAACTACTTCCATCAACTCTATTCTCCAGAATTTAATGCAAAGTCCTTCTCTTTGGAGGTCTCTAAAGGACTCAGGATGAAAAAGAGTGTTTTTCCTGTTCACTCAGAGGAACTTACTTTAGGCATCACGATAGTTTGCTTTTAGCAAGTATTACATTCCAGCCTGTTGTTCTACGTGCCTAGGCAAGCATGAAAACTGTATTTTCTGAAAACATGTACTATCTTAGCCACTGAAAATTAATTTGAAGTTCAGTACATCCAGTTTCCTCCTCAGTTGCTGGGTAGAGGAGAAAGGGGGAATTTCACAATTTTTTTTTCCTCTCCTCCTTAATGTACTACAGAAAGCTAAAATGAGGAGATGGCATAGACAGATACCAAATGTATAAAATACTAACAACGCAATATCCTCCCTCATTCCCTGAATAACAGAAGCCTTTTTGGTTATTTACTAGCATTGATAACATCTAGTAATGGATGCAGACAATTTATCAGTAGATTATTTTTTATTTTTTACCTTTTTGATAAACTTCTCTACAATCTGGACAACATGCTTGTAGAGCTGGAAAATAAATGCAGCAGTTAATTTATCATCTACTCAACAGTGGCACATCATTTTAGAAGTATTTTAACTCTTTGTGATTACTATCACTTAGGAAAGACTACTAAATATTGTAGTCACATTTTAAAAAGAAGTATGTTATCAAGTGAAGTTAATCAAGCACAGAAAAAGATTTCATGGGGGAGGACAGAAACAAGCCATCCTTTCTGTCAGAAGTGTACCACTGTATACACAAAAGACATACTGCTTCTAGAGTATTAGTGAGAGCTTTCTGGAGTTACTTTCTAAGCAAGTCCACTATGTTTTAATAAGCTAAGGTGCAGTTGCATCCTGCAACATTTAAAATTGTATTACACAGAAATCACAACACTCTAGTGGGTGTAGCATTAAAAAGCAATGATTCAAAAAAATCAAGCTGGCATTATGCTACTAGTCTAAAACCAAGAGATGATATTCACCACCCACTTCTTTCTAGATAACATTCTTAATGCCAACTAGAACAAAACATCCATGAAGCAAAGACTGGGAAATCCAGAGATACATTTGCTTAGAAGTAAAATAATATTGTTACCGTTACAGTTATGTTTGTTCTATTGTACTTTACCTTAATAGCTTTAATGGCAGCTTTTGTGATGAGAATCATTTTTGCTCGGGAAATAGGAGGTTTCATCTCCATCAGTGAAAAGAGCTAAACACAGAAAACAATATTAAAAATGTATTCTGCAGTTTAAGCAGTTAATCAAAAAGACAACATTTCAGACAACTGATTGATTACTGACATTGCATACTATGTATTGCCACAACGCTGGGTGACCCTCGAAACAAAGAGGCTAACAGGGAGATCTTTCTAGGCAATATTCAAAGCTATCTTCCTTGCGAACTAACCCATATTCATTGATTTACCAGATTTTGATATGGCTGCTGTCGAAGTTCCATTTGTGTCTAAGAATTAGTTTCTGCTAACTTATGGTACAGGCACTGCTAACTTATGGTATAGGAACTTGCTATTTTACAAAAACAATATAAAACAGAAGTAACTGCAATTTGATTTAAATTAGCCTGAGTATCTGCTTACCAAATAGAAATATTAGGACGGTCCTACAGATAGCTAGACTGACATAATCCTATTATCTAAAAATAATGTGCATAAAACATGACAACTTTCATCCATCAAGGTGATCAAATCAATACTAAGTTTTCAAATTATCCCGCTATATACAAGCACTGTAAATGTCTTTAACAGAGATGTTTACCATTTCATTTGCTATGACCATACCATATTATTATTAACTGCACCAACTGTTTTGGAGAATCCCCTGCATTATTCTCCATACTAATGTCACCCAGTTGAAAAGTTAATTCCTCAAGGACAAAGCTTCCAGAAGCTGGTAGTCTTTACAGATGACAGTTTGAGGCATTCTGTGAATCCAGCTTACAGAATAATTCTGATCTTGTTTCTATAAACATAGCCCAGGCACACTATTTCAAAGAGTTTTAATCGTATCAGAAGTTAAGAGTGCTATTCTGTTAAGACCATGAAGCACAAAAAGGGATTCTGCAGTGCTAGATTTAATTTTTTTTTAAATTTTTTTTAAAGTCCGAATTCACAGGAAGCATACTCTATATTCAAAACATGTAGTAGGATACAGGTAGGAAGTTCAGCTCTTCAAATCTGAAAGTGCGGCTCTAAGCAAAAAAACCCCAAACTTCATTTTCACAAATAGCATCACCATGATTTACATCTCATGTGTGAGGAAATTTATTACAAAACACTTTCAAAAAGTCCTGAATGCCTAGGTTCAGAAAAGACACTGCTCTCTCTACCAGTCTTGACCATAACTCTGAAAATAAGTATTAGCTTCACATTTCAGAAACAGGGAAAAACTAAAGCTTGCACACAGAACTATCAGAGCTGATGAAACATCTGTGAAGGGTTGAACCCCAGCACCACCTGAACAGCATGACTTTCTCATGGTACTTGGCTTCCTGTAGAACATTTTTTAAGAGAACAGGGAAATAAGGGATTTGGGGAGGTTTGTTTTTAAATAAGTCCTACAGACTGACACTCACAAGTATGCATGCACACACACACCCCAGAAGACTCCAAAATCCAATGCACATTTCGCCACTTTCCAGACCACTCTGCCCACTCTGGATCTACAGTTAATTCTATGTACTCCATAAGCTACTGTTGTGATTTCACATTGTAAAATATCCAGGTGCAAAAACTACACTGTATGCTACACTATGTTTTTGTGTCATACTCTGCACACTTCTGTTCTACTAGTCATTACACCTGGAAGCATCATCCACATTGGCTTGTTAGGACCATTCTCTCTTCTCCAATCTTCCTTCCTGTCTTCCACACAGAAACAGAAGCCAGGACATCCCAGTACTACTTTTTAATTCTTCCTTCTCTATCACAGCTCATGGTTAGGTGTTCTGCGTCATTAAATATTATTTTCTATTCTTCCCATAAACTTAACTTCCTATTTAAGCTGTGGCTTACTAAAGGTAGAATCATTTTATTGTCATGATTTGTGTAGTGCAAAAAAACACAGAGACCTTCAACATTTCCTACACACAATCATTTTTACTTTGAAATATTCCCCACAAATCATAGAAAAAGAAAAAAGGGGTGTTGCATTACATAATTTGATTTTGCTCTTCACAATAAAGAAAAAAAAAAAGAGCCTTTGAACACTAGCCAAAAATGTAATCAATTATTTGCCACAAAACAAATTAAGAGAATAAAAGTATCTTCATCTGACAGTGTAATTGAAAGGAAGATGTCATTTAAAAATTTATCTCTTATTTTTCTATTAATTTAAAGTTCCAAGACACTTGCGAAGCGACCAACTAACACAGATTTATCCACCATCTCAGTTAAGGAAAAAAACTATGCAGAAGATAAGAAAATTTGGCCAAATATTTAAAGGCAAGTAAAGTGATAACAAGACTTTCAGCAATACAAAATGAAAGCCTTACACCAATAAAATACAAAGAGTAGGCAAGAAGGTATTGACTTTCTTAATTCAATTCCTATTCCAGGAGATATGACAGAGGAAAAACTGTCCTTCAAGACAATGGTAGCCTTTTCCAACCTTTTCCAACACCAACATCAAGTCAAGACCATGATTCTTCATTACTAATCTCCACAAAAGGCAAGTTCTAGTGCCAGAATGTTTGATTTTTCAAGCCATTCAAGCTGTAAGAGTTACTTCAGCTAACATCCCTGCTTGCTGAGAAATCACAGTATGGACAAATAAAAACTGTCAGATAAAAGACAGAAGGAGAGAGGTGTCCGAGTGGTCTTGTTTTTTTTAAAAAAAGCTTAATTTCAATTTCAAATTATATTTCTTTAGAGTAAGTGCAAAGACTCTTAATGAACAAAGTCAATGCTATTATTAAAACTCAAGAAAATCTGTTTTAAGAGGAAATGAAAGACAAAACCAGAATTTTCCAAAACCCAACACCCACAAACAAACCACCAGAAGGCTTGGAAATGAGATAAAGGAGGAAAAAAGGAGCGAACATTAAGACAGGCACTCCATATCCTTTCCTTTAGACACCAAGAGGCAACTGGTCCTCCAGAAAAAGGAGCCAGTCCCATATAACAATACAAAGAAGCTGATGTGAAAGCAGCACTTCAGCATTTGCATTTCAGGAACACAACAGGAGGGAACCAGGAAACTGGGAGTCTTAAAAGATACCCAAGAATGACCATTGCAACTGGGAGAAAAAGGAAAAAAAAAAAAAAAATCCAAGGAAAAAGAAACTGCCAGAGGGCAGAAAAAAGGGAAATCAGCTAGATGCACTGAAGTAGCCAGGGAAGATGCAATAAAGAATATGGTAGCTTGGAGAAGTCATTAATTAATAAGAACAGGAGAAGCTGAAACTTAGGCTACTAAGGCAGGAATAAACAAGAGCTTTGGAAGAACAGGACTGAGCAGATCACTGTAAATTGTTCCTTTGCTGTTACAGACAGCTCTCGGGGCAACCGCAACAAAAACATAGTAAAAGCAATGAGGTCAGTACACACAGATATTTCCAGCTCAGGATGAACTACAGCTGAAACATGCATCAAACTAAGATGCAAATATTTTTATATATAAATATATATGCACACGTACATATATATACACGTGTATGTGTATGTATATATATGTGCGTGCATAAATATATGTGTGTGTATTCTGCCCTCTCTTCACACACACCCCCATCACTATCTCTTGGAATAGCACATCAAAACTGTTGCCTTTTTAAATTTTCGTAAGAATTTAGAATACCAAATTACTATTTTAAAACTGATTTTTAGTTAATTTTCAGTATCATAGTTACATGTGTCAAAACTATGTTTTAAAGACGCGTAAATCTAAAATTTAACAACCTTACCAGTTCCTTGTGGATTTTCACTGTTAGAAGGGGAAACTGTTCAGTAAGATGCCCATGTACTTTACATTTACATATGTTCGATTAGACTTGGATCTTCTTTCATACACATTTCCCAAAACTATATGACAAAACCCCCTATTTTCAGAGGACCGTCCTTCCAATAATACATGTAATTGCTCAAAAGGCACCATGATTAGCTCAAGAAACAACCTAGACACAAAAACTTACATTAAAAAAAAAAAGAAGAAAAAAAGAAATGTGATGGATGTAACAAAGGCAACGATAATTTGCAGCTTAAAAATGTTTCCAATGTACTGCCTCACAACAGGAGCCTGTCCCTGGAATGCTCTGCGCTGTAAAGCTTGACCTGCTAGAAATGACTTGCTGCTTTTACCAACCGTAACTGGATGTTTGGAGAAAAAAAAAACAGCTCCTATTTGATCCCTACCTTCCTTCCCCATACAGTGACACCACTGGCTAAAGAAAAAAGCAGTTTATCTCTGCCTCTATTTCTACTGGCCACTGCCCCCCGTAAATTAATTTGGCAATGAAAACCACCCATGGTATCCTGTTCACTCGGATGGGGAGGTACCATAGGGCAAGACAGCACAACCAAAAAGAAATTAATTGAAACTTTACTTTTATGCAAGAACTAATTAATCCAAGGACTATTCAAGACATATCTTTAGTCAGTTTTGATAATTTCCATAGTTTAAGAATTGTCTCCTGCTTTCTGTGTGAATTCTTTCATACACAAGGAAAAAACAAGGTAGAAAAAATAGTAGAAAGGCTTAACCACAAAACGTTATCAAAATCATTAAGGTAAAGGCCATAAGAAAAACTTTCCTATTTCAGTTATAATAGTCTCACCTGTTGGAAGTAGCATGAAAAAAACCACACTTTGTTTTACAGAAGCTCTAGCTTAGGATTTCCATTTAAGAATTTCAATTTAAGAATTTCCAAGCATTTCTGGAACCTCCCTCCCTATATTTGAAAGTACATGCACTGCAGCTGCACGTTTTTAAAAGTACCATGTTTTTAAAAGGAATCATTTCTTTGTTGCTCCCTATCAACCCATGTTCTACAAAAAAGTGGAGGTATTAAAGAGCCTACTAAACTCAAGCCACAATACAAAATACTGATTCAAGCATATTTCTCCACACTTTTCACAACAGTACAGAAATACAGGATAAAGGATCTATAAAGCCAGGAACCTCAAAGGCAAAAAAATCACCTGCACATTTTCAGGCTAATAAATGCAATTAAATAACAAAGATGAGCCATTCATT